ACAACCCCAAACTTCAAAGTGACCTTAAACAAAGTTCAAAAGCAAGTAAAAACATAACTTTTATCAGTTATAGTCGAAGCATAAAACAAAAAGCAAGATAGGCTAAGAGCTTGTGCAAAAATAGAGAATATAAAGTAAAAGTGCTTACCCTTGAAGAACACTTCCAAGAGCACAAAACCAGCACCTCTCTCTGATCAAAACCACCCCAAAAACTTCAAAAACAACCTCTTGAAACCTCTGTACCTCAAGGATGGTGTACCACTAGGTGCCTTAGTGCAAAAATATGAACAAAACACACTTTTGATCACCAAAACACACACAATATAGAGATAGAGAGATATAGAGAGAAAGAGATGCCAGAACCTCTGAGAAGGGAGGAGGGCCTCCCCTTTTATAGAAATCCAATTTCTAAGGCTTCTAAGAGAAGCCAAACAAAAGGCAAATCCCTCCATACATGTGTATGGAGAAGGGAAATTATGGATGCCAGCTATCACAGCTGGCATAAAATATATGCCAAAAGTAGATGAATAGTGGTAGGCCAGCCAAAAATGACAAATTGACCAAAACAATGGTCGGCCGACCATAAAGAGTGCCGACCAGCCATCACCAATGGCCGGTAGCAACAAAATAGGGCCAGTGGCCTCAAGCCATGGCCGGTGAGGTGTGGGGATGACCAACAAGCCATTCCCTGCCCTCAGAAGCAAAACAACAAGTGTTTGATGCAAAACCAAACACAAAGCAAGCAAGTCGAGAGATCTTAAGGCAAGGCACGTAGCCGAGACCTCCGAGAACTCAAAACGAAGACGAACATGGATGATCACCGAGTGTTCAAACGGTGACGTCCAAGTCTTGAGGACGGTCCAAAATGGGGTGTCTATAATAGCTTATTGGACAGTAACACCTAAAAGACAATAAAAATTTGAAAAAACAACCAATCAATTGCATAATCTACATACTAAGAAATTAGGACTTGATTGTGCAACTAGGTGGAATTCAACATACTTGATACTTCAAACTGCCTTATTGCATAAGGATGTCTTTTCTCAGTTGAAAAATAGAGAGCCCCAATATAAGATCGTACGAGGTGAGGAAGAATGAGAGTTTGCTAGAGAGAATAGTGGGAGGTTTAAGATATTTTTTTTTTATCACAAAGTTATTTTTTGGTACTAAGTATCCCTCAGCCAATGTTTGTTTCCTAGTTTTATATAAGATTAAGATGACACTGTCTCAATGGCTCTCTTGTGAAATTGAAGTGATTAGAACAATGACATCAAAAATTTTGGAAAAAATTGATAAATATTGGTTAGTGATACATGGTGTTAATGGAGTTGTTGTTGTACTTGATCTTAGGTATAAGATGAAGGTACTAGAGTTTTATTTTGAAAAACTTTATGGAGACAAAGTTGAAGAGGAAATTGATAGGATTCGTCAGATTTGTTATGATTTGTTGCAAAAGTATCAACACCTAGTTGGTATGGAAACCGATGTTGTTGGTGAATCTTTTATTCATCCAGAAATTGTTACAGAGACCTTTTCAGAGTATGATTTGTTTATTAGTAGAAAGAGAAGTTCAAAAATGAAGAATGTAATATCAAAGTTGGACCATTATCTAAAAAATGATGTTTTGCTAAGAACTTCAGGTTTTGATGTTTTGAATTGATGGAAAGCCAATGGACCAAAGTATCCGACTTTACCGGCACTAGCTAGGGATATTTTAGTTATTCTTGTATTCATTGTTGCTTCTGAGCCATCACTTAGTACTAGTGGAAGGTTAGTGAATCCACATCGTAGTAGACTTCGTCCAAACACATTAGAAGCATTAATATATGCACAAAGTTGATTGTGGGCTGCAAAGATGAAAGGTACTCAAGTCAATCGACATATTATTATTTCAATTTTATATTATATGGAACAATTTCAATACTGGATTTATATTTTTTATTTTTTAGGAAATTCAATATTAGAATCGGTGGGCTATACGACTATATATGACGATGATGGGATCGACTTGGATGAGTCGTGTGCCACTTTTGTGTTAGTTATCATCTTTTTAATTTTAATTGTTAACATTTTTTTACATCTTATTATTAGTATTGATTTTTTTTCCCTTTTGTTATTTAACAGGAACTCAAGTTGAAGGAGATGATAAAAGTTGTGGTGTGGTTATATCAAAGTATTAGATAAACAAATGTTGTTTTTCTTTTTCACAATGGATTTGGTTTTTTTTATTGTGGTTGTTATTTAACTGTTCAATTTTTTTATATTGTAATGGATTTGTTTTTATTTTTTTGTTTATTCCTTGCGGGCTGTGCTTGAGACTTTCTTTTTCTCTTTGCAACTTGCTCAATTCTCCTTTGTGTGGAGCTTGAATAGGCTATTGTTTCTGAATGGATGGAATATAGGGCTGCTGGATGGAATATAGGGCTTAGATTGTTTAGCCCTTTGATATGCTTACACTTTTGTGTTCTTGGTTTGATTATTTTTACTTTACTTTGTAATCTTTCCTCTGAATAAAAAAACAAACAAACAAACAAACAAACAAACAAATTTGTGAGTGTCAATTTTTGAATTTGAAGACATGTTATTTATAGATCACTGTTAATTATTATATGCTACTTTTGAATTTCAAGATATGCTATTTACAGATCACTGTGAATTTGAAGATATGTTATTTTTGAATTTGAATTTGAAGATATGCTATTTACAGATCACTGTTAATCTTTCCTTTGAATTTAAAAAAAATAAAATTAACATGCTATTTACGGATCACTGTTAATTCGGAGATTTTTCGGGGACAGGGAAACCCGATCCTCGTTAAGGGTCGAGAGCGAGGGGAGGGGGTGATGGGTTCTCTACCGGGAATCAGGGGTAGAGACATGGAATTTAGCACTTTCGGGGATCGGAAACGGGAAGTGTAGTCCCCGACCCGGCCCCGCTCCATTGCCATTCCTAAGAGAGATGTTGTGTTGGCTATTGAATTGAAGAACAATGGCTAAGCTTTGTGAGCTCTATTCATTTTTTACTTAGAGAAATCTTCATCATCATTGATATAGAAATAGTTGTTGTTGTTATTGTTGTTATTGATGATATAGATATAGTTGTTGTTGTTGATGATGATTGTAATAGATAAATATTTTTTTTTTTGGACATAAATAGACTGTTTTTAATAGAGAAACAGGTTGTTTTCAACAAATAGTAGACATATTATTTTTTGTGTTGTTGTTGTTGATGGTGAAGCCTGGTTTTATTACTCTGGTTGGAAAAATCTTTTTATTTTTCTTCATAATCCCCTGTTTGGTTATCTAGAAAAAGAAAAAGAGTTTAAAGGTTTGGATTTGGAAGATTAAACATATATAAGATTTTGGGATTTGTACAGGTAGATTTAAATAGATAAGGAAAAAAATTAAACAGATAAAGAGAGAAATTCATAGATTTTGAACAGACGATGAGAAAAAATTCAACAGATAAATATAAATTTGAATAGATAGTTAAAAAATTTGAACATATAGAAAATAATTTGAATAGATAAGGTAAAAAAATTTAATAGATAGGGAATTTTTTTCAATAGATAGTCAACAAAAGTCAACAGATAAATTAAGTAGTAAAATTAAAAACAAAATATACTTCAAAACAAACAAAATGACTTTTTACTAAGCTGTTTTACAAAAGGTGAATTTTTTACCAATAAAAAAATCTACTAAACTTAATGCCTTATACATTCCTTAACTTAGACTTTTCAACAATTTACTCTATATAAAAGTAGTTTACATGTTGTAGTGTGAATAATTTTTGTTTTTATTTTTTCAATTAGCTAATTATTATTTAAATGCCCCACCTTTTTATGTTTGATTATTTTATTACTTTGGTTCTTGATTTTTCCCTCAATTTTGACTCTTTATGTTTAGTTTTTTTTTTCTTTTTCAATTTACTCTTAAAACTAATTTCTATTCAAAATTAAATAAAAATGTCACGTTAACTGTCATATGAAATAAAAAAAATATTATTATATTAAAATTTGAATTTGTATCGCGTGAGTTATATATAATAAAATATTTTTATATCTTAATGTGTTACTTTTTTGCATAATAATTTTGTACATAACTTAATATTTATTTGAAATGATCTAAATAAATATATTTTTTTATTTTTTACAAAAAGATGATTAATGTAATAGAGAAATAATGTGATTCAAATAAGAGACGACATGACCAAAATAAAATTAAAAGATAAAAAAATTGTATTAAAGTAATGTACTTTTTAAAATAAATTGAAAAAAATTTAAAATATAAAGGATGAAAGTGAAGAAAAAAAAAAGAAAAGAAAAAAGAAAGTAAAAAAATAACTAAACATCAAGAACGAAAGTGTAATTTGCCTACTTAAGTGTGCGTGCGCGCCGGCAGTAAAAGGGAGCTTCTATTTGCATACACCACTTCCCCTCTCCTCACACACTTAATGATATTTTTTTATTACATTTTTATCCTAAAATAAAATTACCAAAATACCCCTTTCTTCTTCAACCAAAACCCTCACCCCATCCCATCGTTCGTCGTTCACTCACCCTCCACACCACCCCGTAACACCTCACTTCGGGACACAACACCACCGCCGCCGCAGCTTCCACTCCTTCGCGACCCTTAATTCTGCATACAGAGAGTGTGAAAGAGAGAGAGAGAGAGGAGACTCATTTTCTTACCATCAACATCCGAAGCCCCCTTTTCGCGATTGAGATGGGAGAGAGAGATCGAGGGGATGTGATGGGCGTCGCTGTAGTGTCGCCGGTAGGTAGAGGAAGGGGTGTGAATGGCGACTGGAAGGGAGGTGGTAACGATGGTGTTGCGTCTTCGCCGACAAGGTGATTGCCGGCGAGGTGATCGTTGGTCTAGAAGGTGTGTGGATTGGGAAGGTTGGAAAGTTGTGTTTATGAGGATATAATTGAAATAAAAGCGTGTGTAATGAGTAAATATTTTATTTTTTATTTTTTTAGGTGCATGAATTAAATAGGATGTGCAAATAGGGGAGCTCCCGCGGTAAAACCCTTTGCTTGGCCACAAAACCCTCCTTCAATCGCAGAGATCTCTCTCTCTCTCTCTAAACTCAACTGAAAGCTTCAGAGCATGGCCTCTCGCTCTATCTTCCCTAAACATCTTCCTTTTCTCATCCGCACTCCCAAAGGTTATTTCTCTCTCTCTCTCTCTCTCTCTCTATATATATATATATATATGTATATATCTATCTCCGTTTTGGTTTGTGTGTGTAACAGCTGAGTTTGTACGCAGTGAGTTCTTGTGAATCCTTCTCTCACCCATCTCTTGCCTGCTTTTCCACTCACATTGTCGGTGACTCCCCAATTCTCGTAATTCTCTCTCTCCCTCTCTCTATGTATATATATATATGCTTTTAGTTTCTGTAATTCAAATGATGGTAATTAATGTGCAGGTTAGAGATTTTATACGCTCTGCATTGTATGACCCGAATCATGGTTACTTCTCCCAAAGATCAGGCTCAGTTGGAGTTCTTGAGAGAAGCATTAAGTTCAATCAGCTACAAGGTAACGATGCCTCTTTAACTCTCTCTCTCTCTCTCTCTCTCTGCGTGTCTTTACTTAGTAATTTGTAAAGGGGTTTATGAAATTTATGATTTGTTTCAGTTATTTAAGCATATCAAGATATATGGTTCTCTGAATTATTTGTGGTTCCAAGTGTAGTTAAGTTATTTGGAGTGGCTTGAATTGTATTTTGAAAATAGGGTTTTGTTTGGCAAATTGAAAATCATTATATAAAAAATCTGGGTGCAACCTTATTTGTGAAAAATGTAATAAAATACTGGGTTGAAATGTAGTTTTATGTTCATGACCTCAGCTTGAAGTGTGAACCTAGTTATTGCTTTGAACCTGTGAATCCAGTCCAACCCTTCGAGAAATTATGAATCCAGCCTCCTCTTTTTGGTCAAGAAATATGCCCATGTCCAATTGTTTAGTTAACTTAATGAAAAACTCATTAGCAGTTTGTTAGGCCTTTTCCATGTCATGTCAAATCTTAGAATTTATAAGCCATTTCATGTATTATTGAATCTAATTCCAATTTCTATACGCCATTTGTGATATTAAACATGTGTGGGTCTGGAAAGTGGATAGTAGAATTAAATGATGAAAAATCCTGTTCTCAGTGCCATGTAATCATTGATCATGATCTAGAGTTTGTGGGCTTAACTTGACATTTTATAATATTTAAGTATTATTAGCACAGGTTTCATACTATCAATATTTAGGTTACCTGTTGTTGATTTGTGGATTAGAAGATTTCATATTCATCTTGTGCCTAAAACATTTGCTGCGGAGTTTCCTTGTTCCAAAGATTATAGTGTTAGCAAAGCACAATATGACACTTGAACCTCAATTCATCCACTCCACAAAAATAAAATAAAATAATGGCATTGTCAGCAATCAACAGGTGGGAACCTGTATTTTAACTCCTTTAAAATAGCAAGCCAAGCAACAACCCTCCCACGCAATCCTCTCTATCATACAACTCAGTGCCTCCATAACAATTAAAAGAAAGGGGCTCTTTAAATGGGGCTCAAAGATTAAAATTGAAAAGTATGCGTTTAAAAAATGAGGGACAACCAGATTTATTGTTCCCCTCTTGTTAATTATGTTTAAAATAGAGAGAACAAAGACAAAGGAAAGCTCAATAGTAAGAAAAAGGGCAATGAGGACCACTCGATCTTGACATCGAGATCACTCTACATAGCTAAGTTAGGGTGTACTGGTACCAAACTAGTTCTTAACCTTCCTATCTTTCTCTCTCCCTCTTTCTAGTGCTTTTTAAAAAAAATAAAATAAAAAATACTCTTACATGTGTAGACATACTTCTTTGTCCCACTTTTTTGGCTTTTCAACTTTTGAATCTGTATGTTTGATTTGAAAAACTGCTCATAAAAAAACTTCATATTTCAATAACTTCCAATTTGTTTGTTTTTACTTGGGGCTTTCTAAAATGGATGGTAGGGATTTTTATTTGTACTTGCCCCCCAACATAGAAATATAGAAAGTAATTTGCCAATAAAAATAAATAAATAAATATAGAAAATGATTAATTTCCTATTATCTTCTTATATATATGCATGTAAAAATATATTTACCTCTTGTCATCTTCAACTTTGTTTGTATGATAAGTTTTGTGAGTTGTCTTGTGATTATATATGTATCATGTAGTATCTGTGTCCTATGTCCATGTGTGGGTTGGGTAGGTGCTATGATATCTATTAGCAAATCAATAGCCTACAAGCAATCTTGTCCACTTAGTTACATCATTTTTCTAGCTTATCTTTTTTGGACATTTTCACTTTCCTCTAAAACGAAAGAAACTAGAAGAATTAAATGATGTTATGATTGCATTTTCTATTAAAATTTGTCCCTTATATATTATGTACCGACCTAGTATTACAGGGAGAAAAGCTTATATGCAGCATTTGCACAGCATTTACAAGCAGAACGACATATCATGGTTTACTCCAGTGGAGCTTTTTAAGGTAACATATACATTAAGGGTGTTTGGGAAGTTGCTATTTTAGTAGGCTATTTTAGTTTTTGGCTGTTTTAGTAGGCTAAAATTTTTGTATTTGAGAAGATGATTGGATTTTTTGTAGTTGGATGCGATGTTTGTGAGAAAAAAAGTGAAATGATTATGGGTTTGATGTGACATTTTGTCTTATTCACTACTTTAGCCTATTTTGTCTTTTTGTGGATTTTAGCCTAAATTAGGCTAAAATTTTACTTCCCAAACGGCCCCATTGTGTTACATATCAGTATCTCTCTCTCTCTCTATATGTATATATATATGTATATATTATATTTTGGGGGTTCTTCAACTTGAAGTAATCTTTTGATCATCTTAATCTCCATCGTAGACCTTTTACCTTGATACCCAAATGATGTCACCTGGCTTTCTTTAACCTTTTTTCAATTAACAAAATATGTCCTACAATGATAAAGAGATAGAAAGAGAACTAAGAGAGAGAAGAAGATAGGAGAGGGAGGGCGCATTATGTCTTTCGAACATCTCATTTACAAGAGAAGGAGAGGGAGACAAGAGGAAAAGAAGAGAATAGATACAGAGAAAGGTAGGAGAGAAGAAGAACGAGAGAAAAAATAATATATATATAGAGAGAGAGAGACGGAGGGTGAGGGGCTCATCGTGTCTTTCAAACATCTCATTCACAAGAGAAGAAGAGTGAGATAAGAGGAAAATGAAGAAAAGAGATGGAGAGAAAGATAGGCGAGAAGAAGAGGCAATGAGGGGGGGGGAGAGGGAGAGAGAGAGCAAAAGATCTTTCAATTTTCTTCAAATATTATTCGTCTGTTGTGGCTAATTCTCTTCACACAAGTAGGGCTTATTTATGGGCTGTATACGACCTAAAACCACACGGTTGGGTAAAATTCATACTGCCCCATATGGTAACAAATAAAAACCTAAAAGTCTATTCCCAAAATACATAAAAATCTTAATTAGAAGTTAAAAATCAGCAGTCCTATTATTTCAGAGAACTTACATTAATTGAAAAATCATTTGCTTGTGAGCCTTCCTTCAATTGGGTGTCTCAGCTGGCTTCAGTTTTATTCTATTTTTGTTTATTAATTCTTTTTCTTATTTTATTTAATTTATTTTTGTGTGTTCATTTCATATCATGAAAAATTTCTTCCTTGTAGCCTTGGTATGCCCATGGGATTGCTGAAGCCATAATGCGAACTGCTAACCTTTCCGTTCCATTAAAAGTAAGTTCCTCATTTTCTTGATTTGCCACTTGATAAGTGTCTCCCAAAAGTTGTGGTATTCCCTTTTTGTAAAAAACTTCATGCTTTTATTTTCTTGTAAGTGAATATGAGAGTCCCAGTTGGGTGTTACATTTCAAAATTATTCTATAATTTTAAAGGGCAGATTTATTTTTGGCTTAACAAATGCCTGTTGGTATTGATGTGTTCTGGACCAGTTAGCGACTTGAGTGACGTAATATATTGCAAAAATATTTGATAAATTACCAAACCTGGCTGTATTATGTTGCACATATATTGTCTAAATGATTGAGCACATTAAGTGAAGGAATCCTTGCACTGACACTCAAGCTAAAGTAAGAAACTAAGAATAAAATGAGCAGGTCTGATAGAAGTTGTCCTTGTCACATCCATATTGCTATGCATGTATGATATCAAATTTGATGCATGAGTTTTTTCCATATTTTTCCTCTCTCTCTTCTTTTTTCTTTTTTTTTTTGTCAAAATATTTTTCCGAACCTCTACTGTTTGTTTTCCCCTTCATCCTGTTTTGATATCAGTGATGCATCTTAAGCTATTTACTTAGGCACTGATCCCATCAATTTGGGCTGTTGGGAGGGGTGGACTGTTTCAGAATTATCCTTCAACTGACTTTGCTTACATGAAGTAGCTTCATTGAGACTTGACCTCATGCTTCAGCACTGACAAATTAAGCTTTACCATTCTTCCCCCCACCTTCATGCAAAGGTGTCATATTTTTGTCTTAGAAGGGTACAGTTTTCAATAATCAAGAACAGAAAGTTAATTTTTAAATTCTTTCTAGATTGTAATGGCATTAATCCATGTAGATTTATTGTAGCACGTGACTGTTTCTTTCTTGAAACTCAACACTGCAATCGTTATTCTTGATCTTTTAGTATCCCTCAAGTAGTTTTCAACCAATTAAGTCTATTTAGTAATTCAAATGACAATCTACATTAAAGGTCTTTATTTGAATATATCCTGTTTTTCTGAAATTTGTATCTTAACTCTTCAATATTTTTCCAATTCGTCTATATTTTTTATTATGTTTATTTTTCCTTGATACTCTTCAATGTAACACCCCCTTTAGCCTAAATTAGGCTAAAATTTAAAAAAAAAAAAAAATTCAAATGTATATGGGGGTTAGTTATTTTTGGATCTACTTGTTTTACATGTCAGACTAATCATTGATCTTGTTCTTTTATTATCTATATTCAGATATATGAAATTGGTGGTGGATCAGGAACTTGTGCAAAGGGCATAATGGATTACATAATGTTGAATGCACCTACGAGAGTTTACAATAATATGACTTACATGTATGTGTACCAAATTTACCTTTAGTCACTATGAAGATGTTTACTCCTTTTACAAATTTAACCTTATATACTGAGCATTGTGATAGGAGAATGATTTGTACACTCTTTTCAGGAAGTTTTATAATTTTTAGCACATATGTTCTTCTGTTATTTGTTAGTTTCATCCCCTATTGTATTGCATTTATTTTTGGTTGTTATGTTGCACTGTGGTTCTACCTGCTTCATTTTGTTTCTATATTTTTAGTGAGTTCTTTTATCAAGGATCCTCTTCCTGTATTTTCCCTCCTCCCCATCTTCTCAGTATATCTTATTTCCCATGCACCATTATGATGCATCTCTTACCTTCATTTCATTATTGTTATGTATTTAAGCTATTCTAGATTTAGTGTCATTGCTAATCATAACCCAATGGGTTGGAAAACGTCAAAAAAGTTAGGAGTCTAAAGGTATTTTTTACACGTAATTTCACATGTTCGTATACACTTTTCGCACATTTCAATGCACTTTTGCACATCCACCGAGGCTTACTAAAAAGAAAATCATGGATTTGGAAGGATGCCAAAATAAGAAGTGGAAACTTTGATGCTAGAAGTTTTGTTTTAGATGAGGCCACCAGTTAATTTTTGAATTATAGTCATACAAATAATAGAGCTATGTCTCTAATCAGAAATGGAAAATATCTTTAAACACTCCCTCATAAGCTTTGTTGCCCTTAAAATAAATCTTTTTATAAATTGAAAATTTAAACCATCAGTAAGGTTAGATGGTAATGACAGTCTGCAGGCATATTTTATTTTTCTTGTGGATTGTCAATGCGAGTTAGTCTATTATAGAAATAGTTATTGTTCAATTAACGACAAATAGGTGCCATGGATAGTGAAGTATCGACTTGAAAATTCGAATATTAAAAGGGGGATTACGTATTGTAAAATAAAGACCTCTACATTCATGAATAACTGAACCACTTTTCCCAAAACCTCTAACAACAAATCTCTTCGCTTCTCCGGTAAACCGACAGACATAGTCTGTGTCAGAATCGGAATGGCCTTGGTTGGAGCACAGTGCCAAACATCAACATTATCATTAGTGGTTAGAATTTAACAAATACATGGAAGTCTCTCTGGCAACCTACTAAATTTTTCATTAATTCGGTAGGGACTGTCGAGTATTTGATGTCATTTGAACTTGCTTTGTCTAATTTATTTTCTCAGTTGAGATTAAGATACAAACAAAAGAGTATTAAGGTTGATAAAATATTGATAAAATATTCCCCCCTTTGTGCATCTAATGCCAGTGGGTTGGTCAGAGTAAATGTGTATGATCGGAGGTTAGATGGGTAATGACAGCCTGCAGACATATTTTATTTTCTCCATGGATTGTCAATGCGAGTTAGTTTATTATGGAAATGGTTATTGTTCAATTAATGACAAACAGGTGCCATGGATGGTGAAGTGTTGACTTGAAAATTCGAATATTAAAAGGGGGATTACGTATTGTAAAATGAAGGGGTATTTGAAGTATTTTACGAGTGACAACATGCAAGATGATTTGCAAATGAGGGCCCCCACTATTGTTGTGTTGTTTAAAAAATATACTAATGATAATGTTGATGTTTGGCACTGTGCTTCAACCAAGACAATTCCGATTCTGACACGGACTATGTTTGTCAGTTTACTGGAGAGTACTTTTGGTTCCTTTACTGGAGAGTACTTTTGGTTCCTTTATCGGAGAGTACTTCTGATACGAACTATGTTGTGACTACTTTTGATTTTTTTACCGGATAGTGCGATACATGTGTCGCGTTTTAGGTGGTTTGCGTGGTTGTAAAGTAAAGATTCTTGCAGAATGATTCACATAAAGCAAAGGCAGGAAAATGATTATGTTTTTGAATTATTTTGAATGGGGAATCTTTGTCCTTATACGCTGGCCACTTTGGCTATTTATTTGGTACCAGAAAACATTTGATGGCAGAGAGGAATATGCTTTTATAGTGGGATAGCTATTGTGGTGAAGTTGTTTTCTAGTACATTGTTTTGTCTCTCCTTTTTTGTCTTTCTTTTTTGTTGATTATATTAGTATATAATGTTGTATTCGTTAGAAGAGTATCTCGAGAATTACGGGCAGTTCACTCAAATGTGTGTAGATTGTTTTTTGACGTGGCAAATAGGACTTTGGGAATAGAGCCGGCGGTCAGCTCCGGCGAAGTTTGTTCCGGTGTACGAGGAGTAAAGGGAAAAAATATCAAAGTTAAGGTGTCTGAACAAAAGGGTTAGCAGAGGTAAGAGAATCTTCAGAATTTGTAGGATAAAAGATTTGGAGTGTTTTATAAAAAATGGAAGGAGTAGTAAGCAGCCAATATCGGACTTCCCTTGCGTACTGGAGGTCAAGGACACCGGTGGCCAATGGATATAAGCGTAGTTACTGTGGTTGTGCACCTTTTAAGGCGGTGTATATACACAGATGGTACGTACAGAATATTCTCCGATATATTAAGAAGACTAAGAGGGGAGTAAGGAAGTTACAACTGTACAGTGAACAATTAAGGGACGTTAAATTTGATAATAAATGTGTAGCGAGATTGCTGAATGGTATTGAGTTGGGTAATAAGAGATGTGACCGTCAATCAGATAAGATCGTGGTTAATGGTATAAAATTAACTGGGAATGTTCAATTGGGACAAGATGCTAAAGACAAAGCTGTGGTCCATCACGTATTGTTTTTTGTCATAAGTGATAATAGTCCATCAGATTCTGTTCCCACACCTGACAAGATATTTATTAGAGTTGGTGAGGGTAATCCCGAGACCTGGATTGTTGATCCTGACCAGTCTGACCGGTTTCGGATGCTAAAGAAAATGAGATTCAAGCTCGTTGGTAGAAAGGACAGAGGGTATGTTCCTCACGAAATAGAAGTTGTGGACCGGTTCTTCCCAGTTGATGTTTAGACAGACCACAAAGATACGCTGTTGGGAAATGTTTGAAGTATTCAGAAGGGGGTTATATATTTAGTGGCTGCTATTGTTAGTGGAAAAGAATGCAAAATTATGTTAAGGAGTCCAATGTACTTTAAAATTGTTTATAATTGTAATTTATGTATTTTTATTTGTAATGTTCAGGTGAATGGAGGTGGACGATATAAGAACTTGTATTGTTGAAAGTGTTTTAGCAAGTGATTTCAGTTGTATTGAACTTGCTTTGCCTAATTTATTTTCTCAGTTGAGGTTGATATACAAACAAAAGAGTATTAAGGTTGATAAAATATTTCTCCCTTTACGCACCGAATGCCTGTGGGTTGGTTAGAGTAAATGTGTATGATCGGAGGTTAGATGGTGTGAGTGGTGTGTCAGAGTAATCCCCCTTTTAATATTCGAATTTTCAAATCGATATTTCACCATCCATGGCACCTGTTTGTCGTTAATTGAACAATAACCATTCCTATAATAGACTAACTCGCATCGACAATCCACAGGGAAAATAAAATGCGCCTGCAGACGGTCATTACCATCTAACCTCCGATCATACACATTTACTCTGACCAACCCACTGGCATTGGATGCGCAAAAAGGGGAATATTTTATCAATATTTTATTGTAAGAAATAATGTATAGAGAAAGAGAGAGAATAAATTGTATGTATTATTATTGATTGATATATTGATATCTATTACAATGATTCATGATTCCTATATATAGAAGAGGGTGAGTGTGTAGTAGGTAAGGAGTAGGTGAAGTGGAGGTGGTAGTGGTGTAGTGGGTTAGGTTTAGTGGAGTAGGTGAGATGGTAGTGGTGTAGTGGGTTAGGTTTAGTGGAGTAGGTGAGATGGTAGTGGTGTAGTGGGTTAGGTTTAGTGGAGTAGGTGAGATGGTAGTGGTGTAGTGGGTTAGGTTTAGTGGAGTAGGTGAGATGGTAGTGGTGTAGTGGGTTAGGTTTAGTGGAGTAGGTGAGATGGTAGTGGTGTAGTGGGTTAGGTTTAGTGGAGTAGGTGAGATGGTAGTGGTGTAGTGGGTTAGGTTTAGTGGAGTAGGTGAGATGGTAGTGGTGTAGTGGGTTAGGTTTAGTGGAGTAGGTGAGATGGTAGTGGTGTAGTGGGTTAGGTTTAGTGGAGTAGGTGAGATGGTAGTGGTGTAGTGGGTTAGGTTTAGTGGAGTAGGTGAGATGGTAGTGGTGTAGTGGGTTAGGTTTAGTGGAGTAGGTGAGATGGTAGTGGTGTAGTGGGTTAGGTTTAGTGGAGTAGGTGAGATGGTAGTGGTGTAGTGGGTTAGGTTTAGTGGAGTAGGTGAGATGGTAGTGGTGTAGTGGGTTAGGTTTAGTGGAGTAGGTGAGATGGTAGTGGTGTAGTGGGTTAGGTTTAGTGGAGTAGGTGAGATGGTAGTGGTGTAGTGGGTTAGGTTTAGTGGAGTAGGTGAGATGGTAGTGGTGTAGTGGGTTAGGTTTAGTGGAGTAGGTGAGATGGTAGTGGTGTAGTGGGTTAGGTTTAGTGGAGTAGGTGAGATGGTAGTGGTGTAGTGGGTTAGGTTTAGTGGAGTAGGTGAGATGGTAGTGGTGTAGTGGGTTAGGTTTAGTGGAGTAGGTGAGATGGTAGTGGTGTAGTGGGTTAGGTTTAGTGGAGTAGGTGAGGTGATAGTGGTGTGATAGCTATTGTGGTGAAGTTGTTTTCTAGTACATTGTTTTGTCTCTCCTTTTTTGTCTTTCTTTTTTGTTGATTATATTAGTATATAATGTTGTATTCGTTAGAAGAGTATCTCGAGAATTACGGGCAGTTCACTCAAATGTGTGTAGATTGTTTTTTGACGTGGCAAATAGGACTTTGGGAATAGAGCCGGCGGTCAGCTCCGGCGAAGTTTGTTCCGGTGTACGAGGAGTAAAGGGAAAAAATATCAAAGTTAAGGTGTCTGAACAAAAAGGTTAGCAGAGGTAAGAGAATCTGCAGAATTTGTAGGATAAAAGATTTGGAGTGTTTTATCAAAAATGGAAGGAGTAGTAAGCAGCCAGTATCGGACTTCCCTTGCGTACTGGAGGTCAAGGACACCGGTGGTCAGTGGATATAAGCGTAGTTACTGTGGTTGTGCATCTTTTAAGGCGGTGTATATACACAGACAGTACGTACAGAATATTTCCCGATATATTAAGAAGACTAAGAGGGGAGTAAGGAAGTTACAACTGTACGATGAACAATTAAGGGACGTTAAATTTGATAATAAATGTGTAGCGAGATTGCTGAATGGTATTGAGTTGGGTAATAAGAGATGTGACCGTCAATCAGATAAGATCGTGGTTAAGGGTATAAAATTAATTGAGAATGTTCAATTGGGACAAGATGCTAAAGACAAAGCTGTGGTCCACCACGTATTGTTTTTTGTCATAAGTGATAATAGTCCATCAGATTCTGTTCCCACACCTGACAAGATATTTATTAGAGTTGGTGAGGGTAATTCCGAGACTTGGATTGTTGATCCTGACCAGTCTGACCGGTTTCGGATGCTAAAGAAAATGAGATTCAAGCTCGTTGGTGGAAAGGACAGAGGGTATGTTCGTTACGAAATAGAAATTGTGGACCGGTTCTTCCCAGTTGATGTTAGGACAGACCACAAAGATACGCTGTTGGGAAATGTTTAAAGTATTCAGAAGGGGGTCATATATTTAGTGGCTGCTATTGTTAGTGGAAAAGAATGCAAAATTATGTTAAGGAGTCCAATGTACTTTAAAACTGTTTATAATTGTAATTTATGTATTTTTATTTGTAATGCTCTGGTGAATGGAGGTGGACGATATAAGAACTTGTATTGTTGAAGGTGTTTCAGCAAGTGATTTCAGTTGTATTGAACTTGCTTTGCCTAATTTATTTTCTCAGTTGAGGTTGAGATACAAACAAAAGAGTATTAAGGTTGATAAAATGTTGATAAAATATTTCTCTCTTTACGCACCCAATGCCTGTGGGTTGGTTAGAGTAAATGTGTATGATCGGAGGTTAGATGGTGTGAGTGGGGTGTCAGAGTAATCCCCCTTTTAATATTCGAATTTTCAAATCGATACTTCACCATCCATGGCACCTGTTTGTCGTTAATTGAACAATAACCATTCCTATAATAGACTAATTCACATTGACAATCCACAGGGAAAATAAAATGCGCCTGCAGACGGTCATTACCATCTAACCTCCGATCATACACATTTACTCTGACCAATCCACTGGCATTGGATGCGCAAAAAGGGGAATATTTTGTCAATATTTTATCAAGCTTAATACTCTTTTGTTTGTGTCTCAACCTCAACTGAGAAAATAAATTAGGCAAAGCAAGTTCAATACAACTGAAATCACTAGCTGAAACACCTTCAACAACACCAGTTCTTATATCGTCCACCTCCATTCACCTAATATTTTGTTTTCTTTAGAAAAAGCAGTGATAATACTCTCTGCAGGCAGTTTTGTTCTTCCAACTTGATGTGTGTGTGACAGCCTATATATGTTTGTGCATAAATTTTGGAATGAATGTATGTTCTTGGTCTGTGCAATGTTGTAATGTGCTAATCTTGAGTTTTTGTACTTTGTGAAATAATTTCTGAATGAGATGCTATAAAAGAAAAAATATTACTACTTTGGATTTTGGAGCACAAGGTAGACATTGGCTATTTGTGGTACACACCTGCCAATCTTGCGGTTAGGTTAAAAAACAAAAAAAATTAAGTTGGTTTGAGAACCAATTCGACCCAGATTCCATGTGAGTATTAATTTAACTCATGTTTAAGCATTTTGTTAGAATTTTTAGTTGGAGTTTTAAATTATCTCAGTATTGTTTCTTGTGATATCTTAATTTGGTTCCTCCTAGTTTTCCTTCAAATTGGGGGGTGGTTAGGTTTGGTTGTTTTGGTACCTTATTGGATTGGACCTGACTTGGAGCTGCCTGAACTTTTATCAAGTTATAGTTAATATTTGTCTTGTTTTGAAGTTAGCATTAATAGAGATGTGAATGATCTTTCTGTTTACTGCAGTTCAGTGGAAATCAGTTCTTCACTGACCAAGAAACAATTAGAAACTGTTGGACAAGTTCAGAGTCACTTATCAAAGTTCAGAGTAGAGTGTCGTGATGCTGCTGACAAGAATGGATGGGGTATCGGTTTTCATTTCTGCAAGCTTTTTCCTTTTTTCTATCATAATTCAAGATCAAAGCACATTTTGGATTAGTTCCAAAAATATGCTGTTTTGTTTTATTTTTCTCCAAGGACCCTACTGGTATTGGCCTTCATAAAATACTTGAAGATGAATATGCTTCACAGGTTATGATATTTTCCATATTATTATTGTCATAGTTGTGCGCTTCTTCTTCTTCTTCTTCTTGTAGGTAAGGGACCGTAAGCATTGGGGAGCAGTGGATTTGTGGATGTGAGGGATTTCAGGCCTAGTAGTCTTATTAGTGGGGTGTATAAGCTCTTGGTGAAGGTGTTAGCTTTGAGAAAATAAATGCTTCCTAAAGTGGTGTCAAATACCTTGAATGCCTTTTTTTTTTAGGAGTAGGAGGTTGGGCCTCTTTGTAACCTTGATATTGAAAAGCCTATGATATTGTAAACTGAGAATCCTTTCTTCATAGTCTGGAGAGGAAGGGGTTTGGGCTCACTCTACGTCTCAATCCCGAGTTCCTTCTAAATGCTACATCACGTCACCCCTTTCTCATAATAGTTTAGATAGTCAGCCACCATCACCTCCATATTTACTGCTATTTGGTAGAAGGTAGGACAGGCCTCCCCCAAAGGAATGGCCCCACATCACGCGCCATAACAAAACTTTAATCTTCATCTCTCCCACCACGAAACAATTATGCCTGGGAGATGTACCATTTGTGCTTGGTCAATTTACTGATTTGCCTTCATCTGTAACCCCTTCCCCCAATTAAAAAGTTCATCAACATTTTTGTTTCTTCTCTTTTTCACATAATGCTAATCTGATTCATCCTTCAGTAATCAGAAAATGTCATTTATCGTGCTGTTCTAATTGGGTTCCCCCCGCCCCCCTTTTCGCTCTTCCCCCTTATCTTTTCAATTGTGAAGCTCGACCTTATATGTTTGCCTGAGTAGTTTTGCTGCTACAACAGGAAATGTGGACCAACAACCATGCTGGGTTATTATGCTGGAGGTATCTTCTTTCCTAATGCTTCTGTTTCGTCTTGCTCATAAATCTCTTTTATGAAAGCAAAATATAATTGTCCCCTAATAATTAGAAAATGATAGGCATACTGACCTTGAACCAAATTCAGAACTTGTTGCTGAATGGCAGGAAGCTATCAATGTCTTTCAGACATTACTTTCTTCCAGCAAGAAATTGGCCCTTACTATATATAGTCTGTTGCGCTGCCAGCCTGTTACCATCAATATGTATCTTTTAAATTTTATTTTTAAAAATTGGATTTTTTTCCAACTTATTTCTGAAACTACGTGAAAGCATGTTTACTGAATATGTTTTCTTAGTAAACAAGCTTTCAATTTCTTTGTCTTGAATTTAGACTAGTAAATAACACTTTTTATTAATGCATTTTTAGCAATCATGTTTTCATTAGAGTTTGAATAAAAGGAAAACTAAAAAGCGTGGTTAGTAAACATGATTTCACGTAGTTTCAGAAATAAGTTGATAAGGCTCAGTTTTTTCGATAAATTTGAAAAGAAGCGTATTCATGGTGAGAAGCTCTAATGAGCCCTATTTTATTATTTTGCCTTTATTGAGGAGATAAAAAAGTATGACCATACTATAAGCATAGATTAGAGCAGCTTACAGTTGAAGTTATGGTGTGTAGGGCTGAGGATACCTGTAGATTGTGCTTAGAATGATGAAAGAAAGATCCAAGGGTTTCAAGAGCAGAAGGGGCTGAATTTGGCTAGTGTTTTTGAGTATTGGGTTGCTGGAATTTCAGATTAGCGGTGGCTGGAAATTCTGAATGGAAACTATCAACGGGTTTTGTGTTACATCAAAGGACAAAAGACGAGGTGAGGGTATGGGTTGATTTGGTTTTTTTTTGTTTGTGTGGTGTTTGGGCACTGAAAGAGGGACTGTTGGATGTTGTGAATCGTAATCTGTATGCTTATTTTAAGTGCTTTCGTATTAGGGTTAGTGAAATGGGAAAGGGTTAGTACTTGTGAAATAGAGCTTTGTGGTTGAAAATGAAGCTTGTTAAGGTATGGATAGATTAAGAAAAGTACAAGAAAGTGAAAGAGAAAAAAGAAAAAGAAAAAGGAGAAGGAGAAGAAGATCCAAGAATCTTACCTCAAATGTTTTAGCTTTCACCCTAACAAGGATAGTGCTTCACCACGAACAAATATTGTCTCTTCTAGAACTTAATTTCATTGAATAGGAAGATTGCATCTTCATTTATGTGATCCATGAACACCTAAGAAACACCGACACTGACATGACATGACACTCATTGGACACTTCCCAACAACAAGTGAACACATGTTCAAACATGTCTTATTTTTAGAAAATTTCTAGATTCGGACATGCTTCTGACATTTGGGGAACACACGTGTCGATCTCTTAGACACACATGAAAGGCATTACAAGTTTAAATAAAATAACTTGGAATCCAATGGTAAAAGGGAACAACGTAAATTCATCATATGTACTTGAGGACTACATTGCTAATCCAAAAGATTTAAGAAACTTGTTCAAGCAATATTTCATATTTGAGTTCCCTTTAAATTCATTTTATGCGCCCTATTAATTGATCAATTCAATCAATCTCTTATAGGTGCTTGATAATCTTCCACATGATCTTATCTATTCAGAAAATCAAGTTTTGCCATGGATGGAAGTGTGGGTTGAAAAGCAACATGACAGGTACAGAAATGCATTTAAGTATTGTTGTATAGTATTAGTTTACTGCAACATATGTATCAATTTGTGTTAACAATGTGACATTCCTTTCCGTTGGACTCTCAATTGTTTTGTTCAAGAATTTGTATGATACTAACAAACGCTACTTTGAAACTCTCTCTCTCTCTCTCTCTCAAATACATGTGGAATATGGTTGCCTAGGTAGAACTAGAAACCAATGTGCTTCATTGATCTATCACTTGTTTTTGAGAGTGTTACTATGTGACTATTAATAAAGTGGTATTTATTAGAGAAAACTCTATGAGACTAGTGATTGAGCACAATTTTCCATCTTGAATTTTTCTTTAAACTAAAAGAACCATTTAATTAATCGTGTGTACCCTTTATCTTTAGCATATGGAGTGTAAGTGTCATATTTTGATGTGCAAGTGGTCAAAATGAAACTGAGCCAAACCACAGGGAGCAAAAAGTATTTTACCCTTTGTTTGACTAAATCAGCATCATTGGTTGTTACTTGTAACATAACTTACGAGCTAGAGACATAAGATGTTCATTTTTTTTTTTCCATTTCATTTTATTTTGGATGAGCAATAGACTGGGATGAAATTTTGTTCTGAAACTTGGATTTGGAATTAAGTACGAATTTCCGAATTTCAGAATGTATGCTGTCGAATGACAATATTTAGCTTCTTTTCTAATCAGTTGATGGAGTCTGTCTTGCCAGAAATCCGTTGCATTTTAAGGAGTCCTTTCAGAAACAAATTCAAATTCAAACACTCTGGTTTTGCCAATCCAAAAGCCAAATTAATTTCTGTAATTGTTTTATCTACACCACATTGGAAATTTGTAATTGAATCTCTTTTTGCATGTCTTCAAGCATGGCAATGTTAGCTGTGGGACCATTAAATTTGTACATAAATAATACTCACTAGGTCAGGATTATGCTTATTAATAGGTCTGAACTCGCTGAGTTGTATAAGCCATTACAAGATCCACTAATTATAAGTTGTATGGAGATCTTGGATTTGGACAAGGATCTTACAACTCGAGGAGGCAGGACAACTTCTACAGCAAGAAATATTTGGGCTAAAATTTTTCCAAAGCCTCGAAGATGTTGGCTACCAACTGGTTGCTTGGTAAAACATTGAGATGTGATGTTGAAATATTTCCTTTTGTTCTAATTCAAGTTTACTTATTGCAAAATTCACTTCCTCAAACATTTAGAAACTTCTAGAAGTTTTACATGGAGCCCTGCCAAAGATGTCTTTGATTGCATCAGATTTCAGTTTCCTTCCTGATGTGAAAGTACCAGGTGAAAGAGCTCCATTGGTTTCAACCAAGGTACATTCTTTCCATGTCTTTGAGTAATTTTGGCGTACTGCCTCATTTTTTTTTATTATTATTTTTAAAATTTTGAATGCTTGCCCCAAATATTCTGACAAGTGTCCTGCATGGTGAATGCAACAGTGTAATTCAATTAGGACTTAATGCTGTCACATTAATATGAAAACATGTAAGATGCTGCTCTGTAATGAATAGAAGGGTATAGTGTTCAAGTTTGTGCCCTTTATGTGCCCCTGTGACCTTTTGATTGCTAGGTTGTAATTGATAAACTGGTAATGAAGTCATCCAAATCATCTCATTTGACCATTGACGATTTGCTTAGTTTATCATTTCTAAATTGTAGACAAGCTTGTCAAATATGATTAACTGTCTGACAAGTTCTTGTGCCGTTGTTTAACTTTTTTCTCTACAGAAAGATGGCAGCAGTTCAGATTTCAACAGTTATCTAAATGCAAAGGTACAACTCTATCTCCTCTGTGTGTGTGTGTGTGTGTGTGAGAGAGAGAGAGAGAGAGAGATGTACTGAATACTTGAGCTTTTCATTTTGCAACTAGCTATTAGTTTTGTTCTAACTTTGCTATTAGTTTCTGACAAGTTCAAAACTCCACTAGCTGTTAGTTTTGTTCTAACTTTGCCCATTCTCATTGAGATACTTAAAATGCACGTTCTTCCTAGCATATCAATATCACTTATGGCTTTGTTTCCAGCTTTTTTATTGGTTTAATCAACTACAAAAATTAAATAAAAGGGTATATCATGGTTCAAATTATCACTTGAGTATGCCATTTTCATACTCTAATCATAGTAGTAGAAAAATCCATCAAGACATTCCACATGTGGTCCATTTCATGCGAAAAATTCCTATAATATCAATGTTCAAAATTTATGTAATTGCGTTTGAAACATTCAATAACTACAAGTTTTGTTGCACCTTGAAAACCGAAACTGAGCCATCATATTTCGTTAAAATTATTCATTCAACCATTTTTCTCAACTGTGTGGTAAATTCTAAGATGGAAATTGAGAAAGTTCTATGACAACTTTGCAATTTAAATGTAAAAAATATTAAACCTGCATGGAATCAGAATTAAAAAAATAGGATTATAGATAATTGTATTAACAATGCAAAAGTAGGACTGATAGATACATTTTCCTAATTTCCATTGCAGGGTGATGCTGATATCTTTTTCCCAACAGACTTTTGGCTTTTGGAACGTATTGATCATTACTGCTCTGGGTGGCTGAAGCTACAAAAAGATAAATCATCCAACAAAGGGAAAAAAAGGCGGACTATTATGGTAATTTCTGACTGTATTCCCATTGTGAGAAATAGAGGAATGTCGTGTAAAAGAATCCATTCAAGCTAAAATGAATGTGTAGTAAGACTAGAATAGAATTAGAAATGATTGCATTTGTGAATTGGTAGTAATATCAACTGAAGATAAGTTGGTAGAAAACAAATTAAGATGGTTCGGTCATATATGATAATAATTGGTAAATACAATGGTAAAGAAGAAGAGTAGTATGATCACGGTAAATGGAACCGTTAGGAGTGAGGGTGTTGTAGTAAACACATGAATTTATTTAATTTGAAGCACATAATCCTTGACAATGTGGAATAGAAAAAATGGATTCATGTAACTGACCCTAATTGATTGCGACACAAGGCTTGGTTTGGTTTGGTTATGAAATCATTTATGTGGTTATCATATGGTCACTAAAAGCATCTACTGATGCTTCAAGATGAGTTTGTGTTCTTATCATCTTTAGATTGTGTAATGTTGGTATGATATATGTAGTGCATGAGAATAATGAGATGTGCATTGAGGAAAGGGAAACTGAGATTTTCTTATATATTCTTGAAATTATTGTGTATCTACTCCATGATACCGAAAACTGCTTCACTTCTATATTGTTCTCAATTTTAAGGATACATTCTTTTGTTCTTTTATTAAATTCAATATTCAGTTTTTAGCCTTTTATGCTGATGTTTCACATTGGTTGCAGCTTGATACATCCTCATTCATGGAAGAGTTTGGTCTGCCCTCAAAAACAAGAACCAAAGATGGATACAACCCTCTTCTGGATGACTTCAAGAACACTAAAATTTATCTGAGTGTTCCAACACATAATACCAAGTAGACAGCCAACATATATGAAGTTGTTAATCGCCACAAAACTTCATTATGGTGGAAGCATGTTTGCCTGATAATTTCTAGATCATTTGAGCAGCGGTGTAGCTTGGAAGATATGAAGAGAAATGGGACATAAAGAGTTAAATTTGGTTGCAGGCATCAGCATTTTTGATTGTGTCTTATTTTTTGGGATACATAATATTTGGACACCAAATGTTGTCCTGCTATGATTTGTGTTGCTCATTTTTTGTGTACAATAATCACAGTGGCGAACAGGTAGATCAAAGAGTGATGATTCATTTTTGTATAATCAAATTGTAATGAGAAACATAACGTGGGCATTGGGATTGGCAGAGTAGAGTGCTCAATAACTATTTCAAAATATTGATGATATTTATTTTTAGCCCTCAAAGAAATGTTTTGCATTTTTTTTTGCTTTCAGTCTTCAACCTCAGTTCTTGTAGCATAGTTGTTACGGTAGTTCTGTACTTTATTGATCATTAACATGCGAATGCCCATATGCGGGTTCAACAAAGCTTCAATCAAACACAACAATCGACACCAAGAGGAATTGAGAGCTTTTGTGGACACCTTATTTATACACTTGTGAGCTTTTCTGTTGTAATAATCATAAAAACAATCTGGTCAAAAAAATAATCATAAAAATACTTTATTTATTCCAGATGTGTAAATGGTCAGGGGAAAAAAGTTTGGGGGAAAATGTTGTTGAGCACTCCTGTATAATCAAGAGCAGTGAGCTTCATGTTGCATTATTTTTTTTGATTATATTTATCTGACAAGGCCATTCCAGCACAACTTTTTCTTTTTCTTAACATCAAACACATTCATTGTCCATGGAAGGGGAAGAGGGTTCTCATCTAGGATAAAGCGAGGTGTACAATCAGAGCCTAACAAAATGGTATACTATGCATTGTGGCATGAAGAAAAGGGAGAAGGGATTCCATCATACAGACATCACACTTCTTATGCAGTATCTAAAACTGCCAGCGAATGCATGCCAAACAAGGCAGATTGAACCGTTGGGTTATATTTCTAACTTGCCATCAACATCCAGCAGTGTTTTCGAAGCACCTAACAGCTCCTTGTCAATTTAGATGGATCACCACCATTTGAGAAAGAGAGAGAGAGAGAGAGAGAGAGAGCTTCCAGCCACCCATCAAGTAGATGGCATCAAGTTTTGATATAGGTGAAGCATATCAAAGACCACGAAGGTTGAGAGAAAATCTACTAACAAGTGGAAATATAGAATAAAGCACAATATTTGATAACACACAAGGTGATCTTACTTGAAAAACAAGGTCAAAGATGCATTCCATGATGTCTTCTGAAGTAATAACACCACAATAAAAAATGAACCACTCAAAAGTAAACACAAATCAAAATGAAAAGAGTTTTTACTAGGAATACTATTCTCCCACAAAATTGTCACTTTAGAAAACCAGTAATATCACTAGGTTCAGTACTTGATAGAAGAAATGATGTCAAGCTGGGAACCAAGCTTCTCCTCAGCGATCTTCTCAGCTTTAACCCTCAGTTTTGTCAACTGCTTCTTCCTCTCATATGTCACCTGTGATTTCTCCTTCCTCTTCTTCTCAAGTTCCTGGAGTGAAGGAACAAAGTAAGAAACAAATAGGACATGATCCATATGGAGGTCAACATCATAAATATGTAGGCTTTCTTTGAGTTCAGCTACAACTCGAAAACCATTTAATGGTCCAAGATTGAAGGGTAATCCACCAAGGTTCATGTACATAAAGATGCATACAGAAGAAGAATACTAACAAAAGAATGCAATAGAAATATTTGTACACAGCTCAAAAAACAGAAAGAAAAACATAAAGCTTTATTCCATTGTGATAGATGTACCACCCACGGAAAATTTGTCAAGTGCACAAATCAGTGACTTCTTCCGAAAACGAAGCTCAAGAAGGATCATTCCACTACTTTCATCATTAAAGTACTGCCAAATTAAATTTAACTGTCTACTCTTTGGTATTACTTCACAGGATTTCAAAAACTTTAAAGTAAATCTCACGTTTTTCAAGTAGCATTTTAACAAGTTATCCTAGAAGTTACTTCAGCTCACCAAGTATCATAACAGCAGAAATAACACCCACAACCACACATGAATGAAAAACAAAATCACAAATCTTACCCGAATAGTATCATAATGGTTCCATCCAACCTCTGAAGAAAGCCTGCCCAACAAGCAGTACTTGTGTCCAGCTTGAAGCCTCAAAACCCTGATTTTGAAATAACCCACAAGTAAAAAGAATATAAACAACCAAATTCATTATAAAGATGCAACATAGTTATACAATCAAAACTCACTTGAGAGCATCAGGGATAACCATCCTCTTCATCTTGTCATATGGTGGTGGAATTCCCTCATAAGCCTTCAAACGACCAAGTGCAGCTGCTCCGCGCTTAGTCTTGTGAGGAATCATCCTACCAAACAATTACCAATGCGGTCAAACAAATCTGAATTTTGCAATGAGGTGTACTAGAAAAGCTTTTAAGCGAATGCCTATATCTAAAGCACTCTCTTGTTCCCCATTAAAAAACAGATGGGTTTTACGGACTTCATAATTCAAACAACCATAGAATCCATCACACAAGGAAATAAACCAAAACACTATTTTTCTGACTAAAGAAACCATTTTTAAACATCATAATCCATTTCCAAGATTATCAAGACAAACAAATTACCAATTGTCATAAAAAAGAAGCCCATCTCTAAGCAAGACTAACACACTTCAAACAAAGTTCCTCTTATTTCTTAAAAAAACACCAAAATAAATCACCTTATTTACTTAAAGAGAAAATGAATATGCTAAAATAAACACATTTCAAATGCCATAAAAACACAGGAATCAACATAGGATAAAAACACAAAATCAAGCATGTTAGATAAATTAAAGATCAAGGGTATCTGGGCAACGCTAAAGATGTGCATAAATTTGGAAAAAAAGGAGGGTTCTTTATTGAAGAGTGAATATGATATACCCACGAATAGTGCGCCAGAGTATCTTAGCTGGGGCTCGGAAGTGGATGGGGCCATGAGAGGGCTTGGTGTTCATGCGCTTGCGGAGGAAGCGGAGGTACTTCATCTTCTGGCGGACGAGTCCTCCGGAGAGGCATATCTCCTCGCACCTCACAACCACCACTTTCTGGCCATTCAAGAGTTCTTTCGCCAGAATCGAAGCCAGCCTCCCCAGCATGTGGTGCCGAGCGTCCACCACCACCCTCCTTGCGCAGATCCCAGACCCTGACACCATTCTTCTTCTTCTTCTTCTCCTCCTCCTCTCTCTCTCTACCCTCTGCGGCGGCTGCTCTGCTGGTGTTTTGCGTTTGGGAAAATGGAGAACAAAGGCCGCTAGGGTTTTTGAGGAGAAGTATATATAGGTAGGGTGTGATGTATGGGGTGTTTTAATCTTGTTTGTGTTAAGTCAAATGAGCTTTCTATAAGCATCGGACGGTGGAGAAGCTCCGCCTTTGATGAAGTTTTACAGTTAAGCCCTCGTTTGGCGAGACTTTTTTTTGTGATTGGGGTTAATTTAATTTTAGTGAAAAAAAATAATTTAATTTTTGGTGAGAACTCTTATTGGATCATTTTTGTGTACAGGACATGAAATAAATTAATATTGTTAAAATTTCTCAGAATTAAAAAATAAGATGAAAAGACAAGCATATCTTTATATCGACAATGCTACGTAACTCAAATTTTGTGGCTCAAAAGTGGTTCAAATGACCAAAACAACGTCGTTTTGAGTACAGAACAACATAAAAATGGCCAAAACGATTTAAGCCACTTTTGAGCCACAAAATTTGAGCTACGAGACATTTTCCCCTTTATATATATATATGGACAATAGCAAGTAGTTGGACTGTTTGTTTCTCTTATTCTTTTTCTTCGTTTGAAAATCGTTAAAGTTCAAAAATCATCATTCGAAAACTGTCAATTGAAACAAATATTAAAGCATAATGAGAGATTTTTAAGTGTCATTGTCAAATGTTTCGAAATTATCGAATGATTTCATCATCTTTTACCCGTTATTACTTCGGAATCAACCATCACAAGTTTGAGAAGCATTTTTTTTTTAACATCTCTCTCTCTCTCTTTCTCTCTCTCTCTCCACTATATCCATCGTCAATGTTTGTTCATCGCTTCTATCATCTCTATCATCGGTTGACATCACTCATCCTCACCGTTGGCCTGTGACTACCATTTTTATCATCAACCGTCACTATCTCAGATTTGATGTCAACGAACTCATGTTTAAGATCAATAACTTCATATTTAAGATAAAATGACCTCATATATGTCAAAAAAATGATAAATTGAGATATTACAATGAAAAATCGAGAATTTTTTTTGTTTGTTTATTTGTTTATGTATCTAAAGTAAAATTTGACTATAATTCATTTGTCTAATATGTACTTTGTTTTCTTAATCGTAGAATTTTACTTTGGTTAGCGAAAATAAACCTTGATTGTTGATTTGCTTAACAAAAAAAAAAAAAATTATTTTGAATCATAATAAAATTTATTTTGATTCAAAATAAAATTTTACTTTGAATGAAGTTGCGATTTTTCCTTACTTGATAATAACAGAAAAATTTTACTGTCTACGTCAATTTTGACTGTATTTTGTTTTATTTTTTTTAAAGAATTTCATAGTAACGTGGACCTTATTTGATAAATTTTGATGAGATTATTCTAAAAATACTAGTAATTTTATTAAAAACAGACATCTAGATCAAAAGTTATATAATTTTTAAAGTTTAAAAATAAAAAGGGCACATATGTTTTACAATAAAACTCATACTAAACCTATATTGTTTTTGACAATAACATTTTATTTTCTTTCAAAGTAAAATTTTACTCTACTTCAAAATCTTCATTTCTACTGAACAAGGTTTATTACAAATTCTTCTACATGAAACTAATCAAGAACATTAAAAAAACATATTGAAGTGTCAAATTGAATTACAAAGCAACTTAGTGAATTGGATAGACAACAATTCAACAACACAACAAAAATGGACTGTTATTGCAAAAGCACTACATTATTTTCATACTTTTATTACAAAATAATAACGTCTTTCATGACAATGTCTCCTTACAAATCTTCCTGTTACAAACGTACTTTTTGAATCTACCACACTATATTCATCTTATGTTCTCACCCTTAGATGAAATCATATTCTTTATTGGCCTATCGGATAGCTTCTTACAAATTAGATGAAAGACAACAAGATTATCCACAACTATTCGTAATTTTTGTATCGACAATACCAATTGTAAGAGGAAATTTTTTGAAAGAGAGAATATTTTACAATTAGTAAGTGTAATACACAAAAGGCTAAAAAAGTAAAATAGTAAATTGTTACTGTAATTAAAAGTAAAAGTTTACTCTGAAAATAAGTAAAATATTACTCTGAAATTAAGTAAAATTTTATTTTGTAAGACACAAACAAAAGTATCTACCTTGATCCACATCCTTCGTTGTAGTTGATAATAATGTGCCCTTTGATTTGCTATTCAGGAAAGTACCATCAAGAAACAATAGAAATCAGTTAAATCCTTCAATGTGCAGTGTGACACAACCTTGAATACAATGGTACAATCACTATACTTGCATAACAACATAAAAGGGGAAACCATTTTTCAAATTTGCAATCAGTTGACGGTAAAAATTTTCTGTCAATCAAAGTAAAATTTTACTGTCACTATGAGTCTAAAAACAAATCACAAAAGTACACAGTATTAGAATAAAATTTTATTGTCATTCTATCAAACAAAAACAAAACACATAATACCAAAGTAAAATTTTACTCTCATTTTATCAAATAAAAATAGTGCACGTAAAACCAAAGTAAAATTTTACTCCCACACAAAAACAGAGCATATAGCACCAGAGTGAAATTTTACTCTCTTTCTATCAAACAAAAACATAGCACAGAGTACTTGAGTAAAATTTTATTGTCATTCTATCAAACAAAATCAGATCATACACAATAAAAATAAATAAATAAAAAAACAACTAATATTAACAAATCAACATACCTGATTAAACTCGAACAATAATTAAACACGTGATTGAAACAAAACTTCTAAAACTCGATCAACACTCTAAATCTTGATAAAACTCTCAAAATCTGATACAAATTTGTACAGATTTGAAATATAAGCTCTCGTTAATACAGATTTCAAGATTGCCGGATAACACGTGATCAAAACAAATTAAGTGAGATTATCGGCAGCGAATCGTCTATTGTTGATAGACGGCGAGATCGTCGGCAGTAAAATCTTCAGATTTTAAGATTGTCTTCATTGATTTCAGATCGTCCTCACTGATTAGATTCTCAAATATATGAAATCAGTGTATATATCAATCAAATTTTCAAATATATGATATATATATATATATATATATATGAAAGGGCAATATTGTCCAGAAAAAAAAAGAAAAATTTATGTTGTGTCCTTGTTGAGTTACACGCTACTTTCTCAAGGACTTTAAATTAGTTAAGCTATCATTTATCCTAAAAAAAAGTCCAAAAAAGGGGGGTTACACAAAAAATCCCAAAAATAAAAAGGACAAAACACCAATAAATCCCAAATTTTAATTTGTTAAACCATTTAGTCCTGCCTTTTATTTTGTAGGCTAATAAGTTATATTTGAATGTTAAAAGCTCACTATAGGCCTTTTTTAGATTTCCCTCATTTCCGAACATCAGACACATCATCAAAACATCATCAAACGTCATCAAACATCAGCAACGTTCTGTTTATATTTTTTTATCAAATCAAACATCACAACGTCATCAAACATTAGTAACGTTCTGTTCATATTTTTTTATCAAAACAAACATCACAATGTCATCAAATATCAGTAACGTTCTGTTCATATGTTTTTATCAAAACAAACATCATCAACATCATCAAACATCAGCAACGTTCCGGTCATATGTTTTCATCAAACATCACAACGTTATCAAATACCAGCAACGTTCTGTTCATATTTTTTTATCAAAACAAACATCACAACGTTATCAACTATCAGCAATGTTCTGTTCATATTTTTTTATCAAAACAAACATTATCAGCATCATCAAACATCAGCAACGTTCTGTTATATTGTATAAATATCAAGCAATTTCAAAAAATATGAACAAACAAAAAAATCACTGAAAAAATAAACAAACAAACAAATGAAAAACTTAATTTTCAAAAAATAAATCATCAAAAACCAAACAAGGTTAAAATCCAAAAATAAAAAATAAAAAAGTTAAAAGGAATCCATTCATTTGACAACAGAATCAAAACGATTTCAAATACAAAATGTCCAGACTCCACAACCAAAACAAACTAAGGACTTGCCTTTGATTTTCATTTTTTAATTTTGTGAGCAACCAAACTAACTTTTAATCAAAATCAAAACCATCAAAAAAATAAAAATCCAATAATAAAATAGCAGTAAGAATTCGTTATCTGATCCCCTTGGCAAAAAATCCCTGCCAACAATACTGTCCAATACTGAAGACTTCCCAGAACTCTGCAAAACCAATAAAAAAAACACAATTCACAAATCAAACTCAGCGAAAACACACAAAAATCAAGAAGAAACACAGAAATGCGTCCACATATACATTCATATCTATAGATACATGCACGTATATATATATCACCTTCATAAAAAATGTGAGTACATTTCACAATGATTGGATTGAAATTACTTGATGTTTATACAATATAATAAATAAAGATATCATACCAAATATAAAAAGGATTAAATGGTTTATAAAAAAACACTCAGGATTAGATAGAGCAACATTTTCTAATATGAGATTTATGAATAATTTTTTCAGAATAAGTTAAAAAATTAATAAGATAAAATATCACATTTAAACTATAATCATTTTATTTTTTTCTCACAAAAGTCAAAAAGTCCAACTCAAAAATAGTCAAAAAGTCAACAGTCTCTAAATGAAGCCTAAACATAATATTAAATTACACTTTCACCCCTAAAATACAAGTCATTGTCACTTTGGTCCTTAAATTCTCCAACTTTGATCCCTATATTTTTTTTACTATTATTATTATTTTTTATTTTTGCACTTTGGTTCAATTATTAGGTACCATCACAATTAAATGACAATTTAGAAATGTTAGTTTGTCACTTTGCGAAGTGTTTATTTCAACATCAACAACATCAGCAATATCAACTACATCATCGAACGTCATCAAACATCGGCAACGTTCTATTCATATTTTCTTATCAAAACCTCGCCATCAACAACATCAATTACATCATCAAACGTCATCAAACATCAGCAACGTTTTGTTCATATTTTTTTATCAAAACAAACATCACAATGTCATCAAATATCAGTAACGTTCTGTTCATA